AAAAGAACTTTTAGGAGAAAATTGGGAAGAAAATCAAGAAAAGGAAGAAGCTAGAACTGAAAGAATAGCAGTATGGAATTTATAGAATTGGGAATTATGTAATCTCTGTGAGTTTGACCAATACATTTGTTTGTTTCAGAAATACTCTTATAAAACCTCACATCATGGAATGGCTGAAGGCCTAAGAGAATTATTTTTTGGAAAAATCCCTAACCCTTGGGGAATAAAATTAGTAGAAGACTATAGAACCTATGTGGAAGGAAAGAATGATACATTAGGTCTAAGAATCTAGTTTGCTCAGACCAAAATAAATGAATGGTGTCTAGAAATTTATAGCTATAACAAATTAAGAAAAAGCATGAAAAAAGGGTTATGTTGTCCTAAAAATAGTGATCCAATCAAGTTAGGATATAATTCTTCAAACTATAGAAAGAAAAACAAAAGATTTAAAATTAGAAGAGGTAGTAAACAAAGGTTTAATAAGAATAAATATTCTAGAAAAAAGAAGAGATATTTTAAGAAGAAAAAAGCACCAAGAAAGTATAAAAGGAATCCGAAGAATTGTACTTGCTGGCTATGTAAAGAAGAAGGGCACTATGCAAATGAATGTCCTAAAAGATACAAAAGAGAAAGTACTAAAAATCTAAAAATCTATGAAGAAGAGTTAAGTGAAATAGAGACTACTTCTATAAATAGTAATGAAACTATATATGAAGTAGAGAGTTTAGATACTTCCAACAATGATGAATCCGATAATTGAGGAAGGAGAAGCTTACTTTGAAGAATATGAAGGACATGAAGAATACAGTCGAATAACTGTGTTCGATAAAAGTAAGTATAAAAGAATTAAACAAAAAGGAATGGACCTTGCAATAGAAAAGGGATTCAAGTCAAGTTCCTTTATTAGTAATTCTTTTAAAAGGAAAGATATAGTTTATTATGGAATATCTACTAAAGAATACAGTATTCGCATCAGGAATACAATGAGAATAATAAACATACCTTTGCTCATTAAGTTAGAAATAGAAAGTAAATTGTCAAAAATCAAAGAATTAGGAGGAATTCAAATTCTCATTAAAGCTCATTTTAGAGAAGGTATAGATACCCCAAAAAAGATAGCTTTAATTGATAACAGAATTAACAATAGAAAGGATGCTATCCTAGGATCAGTGCAAGGTAACCTTATCTATCAAAAACTCACGTTCACAGTATATCCAAAATATGCTGTAAATATTAATGATAGAAATATGAACAAAACATTTATGGCTAACATTCGCATCTACATGTTATCTGGTTAATGCAACAGCTGACTCTTTCTTCATGTAACAAGTTGATTATCTAGAGAACAATACCCAAAGCTTCAAGATTCCTAAATCCGTTTTCTATTCCTTTCCGGATATTGTTTCCATCATAACCGCGCAGGTGAGCTATTATCTAGTCGAGCAGTTCCATGATGAAAAGAAAGAAGCGCGGTGGGCTACGCTCCTCAGAATCAGCATTGGTATGCTTTTTTCCTCTTTGTGTTGCATAGTAGCTTCTCTGGTTGCTTACAGATTGGATTCCAATTATAATTCCGCCAGCATGTTGTGGCTTCTGCCGCAATATCTCTTGTGGGGAATGATGAAAGGAATACTGGAAGAAGGGTTAGAAGAATTTCTCCATGACCATCTAGACAATGACTTACAGGTACAAGCAGTGTGCCGAATCGCTGATGCTCTAGGGAACTTCCTCGGTATAATACTCACAGCAGCTTCTCCAAGCAGCTGGGTTGGCAGTGGCAATGACATTAGCAAAAGTCATCTTGACAATTACTATCGCATGCTGGCAATTATAACCCTGTTCTTCACATTTTTGTTCACCATTGTTGCCATTGCCTATGAATTACGTGAAAAA